GGCCGGAATCACTGAGTATAGTTATATGCACAACGCATGTAAGCACGACGCATTTAATTCTGTTCTAGAATTAAAAGTAACTGTTCATGGCTCTGCTCCAATCCTTTTTTTTTCAGTCAAAGCATTAGAATAACTAATCCATTAACTATAAATAGAAAACGTTATGTGTTCTCTTCCCCTTGAGAAGCACATTGTAGTTTTGTTTTATTTGGATTTAATTTTCTTTTTACTATTTCTGGGACTTGACAGACTCACACTGAAATTCAGTTACAAAAGTGTGATTCTAAGGCAGTCGTTACCCACTGGGAATCCACTGGAAAACTTTGACTTCTGGTTCCTCAGGGAGTTAGAGTGCCACCGCTCAATTCTGTACATCTTGCCAACAAGGGTTCTCTCTTGAATCGAAGATACTAAATTCTTCTCCCTTCCCATCCTTGCTTCAGGCCCTGGGTGTGTACCATATTAGTGATGATAAGTGTATGGATGTACAGAATGAGAAACTGTGCCAGGAAGCAGTATCTTTTGTCAAACCTTCCTTCAATGTATTTTCCTGGGATCAACAGTTGCTGCCAAGTGCCAAGAGGAAAACACAATTTTCTGTCAGGAGAAGTGATAAAACCATTGGCTACAACAGTAGTATGCCTGTCATCAAGCTCCACCCATCTGACAGATCTTATTTGGAGGCATTTGTTTTCTACCTTTAGGGAAATTTTAAGCATAGCTTATTTTTGCTCCTTAGTGAGTCAGTCATTCATAAAAGGAGGTGGGGAAAAGAAAGAATTCTCCTGTCAATCGTCCTCCTTTCCTTAAAGTGAAAAGAAAAAAGGGATTTAGGAGGAAGATGGAGGAAAGGGTGCGTGGGTTGAGACAGTGTAGAAGGAAAGTAGGGAGAGGAAAAGAATGAGAAAAAAAAGTATGAGGGGACTTTGAAAGAGGAGTCCATGGCTAAGTAATCAGTAGCTCTGAATAAAGAGGGAAACTGAGGAGAAAGAGGGGAGGAGGAAAGAAGAGGTTCCCGGCCATTCCCCCTTGACTCTCTTCCTAACAGCAGGGTTCTCATGGTCGGTTCAGAAGAACAGAAATGTCTTTTGAATGTTGTGCCTTATACTCTTCTTACCAAACAGAAGCTGCATACTAAATTTAGCTTCTCGGCCTGACACCTGAGACTGGCCTTTTGACATACAATATTCTTTACCACATCCTCACTGCTCTGTTGAGGCCCGTCTGGAGGTCAGCCATTCCTACCTGGCTTGGCCCAAAGATCTGACTCACTTCTTTTGGTTGCTGATCTTCTTCAGATATACAGAGTGAGATGTCATAAGTCGTGGAGTTTCTTTTAGATCTCCGTTCGGCCTGTTTTTTGGTGACTGCTTTAGTCTAAAGCATACATTCAGTCTAATACCCCATTGCTCAGGACCCACTTGGCTTAAATGCCCTTCACACCTCTCAGAAAGAAGTTAAGGTCTGAAATCATTAAAGGGGAATTGGGTACTCAATTCTTTTGGGAAGAGGCCAAAGAAATGAGAAGAAAATATTTCTAATCCAGGGCAAGCAATTGCCTTGGGCTAGAAGAGGTACAGGATCAGTTTAATACCAGCTCACTGTCCAGGAACCTGGCAAGCAATTAAGTCCACGATCTCCTATGAAACACATACCAGATCAGCTATTCTATGTCTTGGGTACCCAGACAGTCATCTAAACTGTCCTGAAGTCCCATCTGGCTAAATCCCTCATTCACACAGCCTCTGAGTTAAGCTTTATACATTAGCTCTACACAAGGGAATACATACAGTAATCAAGAGAAGCTGAGTCCATCATACTAATATAAACTTGCGCTGCATTATCTGATCATACCATACCATAGAAATCACAAAATAATTCCTATACATCATGGCATCTCTGTGTGCCTAAAAATTTGTAAAATATACACATTAAACTATCTCTAAACTCTATTTTGATGTTTTTAACATCATCAACATAACAAAAGCTGCATTAATGGAAGTGGCACCAGGGATCAAATTCCATGAGTTAAACTGTTATTTTTATGTCCATAGACCCAGCTTACAAATGGATCTTGCACTAATTTTATATATCAAAGTAGATGCAAAAAGCATAAGCAAATTAATTATTACCTTCATTAATAACTATTTATTTCATGGCAGTGAATAGTTATTTTAACTTACTATGGAACATCTAATGTTCATTTTTTACTGTTTTTTCTATATCAGAGACTTTGCAATGTGCAGCCTTTATGCTTTCTTATAATAACATTAGAAATAAATTATAAAATACTGGTAAATTTAAATAATAAGATATTTTCAATCATATGAAATTCCTGTTTAAATAGGAACATTTTTTTTAATTCTGGAGATAAATTCTTATCTCGAGAATTTTTTTAAAAAGTGCATGGAGAACGTTCTATGTATGTTTCAACAGAATTAGTAAATAGAATGAACAATAACTTAAAAAGCAAGGTAAACAGACACTTTCCTCTATGATAAAGTATGATAAAGCAAGTATGATAAAGCAGTCCTACATCTATCCCAGGCAGTCCTACATCTATCCCAGGCCGTCCTACAAAGAGTTTCATAGTATAAGTTAGAATCCTGACATAGGCATAATATAAATAATGAAGACTGTAGCTCTAACATATTGCTCCTAAATTGCAAAAGTACTAATCATATATACCTACACCCGAACTCTCCTATCAAGAACTATTTCTAAAAAGGAACAAAAAGCAAAACAAAAAAAACCAAATTTATACTGAATAAGAACACAGAAAAATGTAGAGTTTATGTAAGACATCAAACAGAGCTATTTTGAACCATAAACAAAGGAGCAATACTTTCACAAACTACCTTATAATCAAATGTAAATAATTACCACAACATTTCATCACTCAGAGAGGAAAATGTAGACGTGTAAATAAACTATCATGAATCCTTTATGAAAATTTAGTAAAGAATTGCCTTAAGTTAGAGAATATTTGCTTAGCTTGATTAAGAATTTAGTGGCAAATTTATTATTTATAACTACATAAAAATTTCCAAAACCAATGGCCATGGTTGATAGGTATGTTATGGATATATGCTTGCACATATATAAACTGAACTAAGTTTAATATCACTGCTGAAAAAGGCCAATATAATGATATATTTTAATAGGCCATTTCCAACAATACCTTCTTAGAGATCAAGGCATGGCTGTTGCTTTGAAAATGTAAATAAACTCCCTTCTCTGGAAAATCCGATTATACACCCTATTCCATGCTTTTAATAAACTCTTTAAAAATCACAGACTTAAATTGTTCACAGAACAGTACTTAACCTTAGATATATGTTATTAATGTTGTTACAAGTATATATCCACAGTAACCTTTCCACTTTGATTTGGCTGTTTATTTTTTACATAACTGGCTTACTCCCCCTTGAAGATCTGGTAGAACAATGATTTATTCCATAGTTGCCTAAAGGCTCAGAAGTTAATTTGCTACCCAAAATATTCTCTAAAACTTGGCATATCTCATTTCCTTTCAAAATTCGTTTAAAATTTTTAATAGTAACTCAAATGTGAAGCTAAACACTTGACATTGGAAAGAGCAGTACCAATCTTGGCCAATATTCACAAACATACCACATCAATATCTTTCTCTAAGGTAAAACAAAATTAAACAAATTATAACTATGAGGGAAAAAAGCCTCACTGAAATCTCTCACTTGCCAAAAGTTATGCATTTACTCATTATGTACAGCAATCTATATCTGTTTCTCTTCGTTCTATGTCTTGGTTGAAAAGGAAAAAAGTCTTAAGAAGTAAATAAGATACGAAACTAGACACCGTCAATAATGAAAGAATCAGTTTAAGAATGTTCCGTATTCAGCTGGTTATTTACATTATTCATCCACCAAAGGTTATCAGGGATATTCTGTTTTTTGGTTAAAGGGCAGGATGGTTTATTGCAGTCCTATAATCTGTACTGTTTATAAGAAAGAACTTGGAAAAAAACCTACAGATAGTTAAAAAACTTCTATGATTACATGTTTCTTTATTTTATATTCTATTTTCATCAAATATGTATATAACATCAATACTAGTCTTCTGTATATAAAGATGACATGTGACTTTTTAACCTATATAAAGTCATATATTACTTATAAAAAGTAATACATGTAGGTATAAAAATTTGGGATGGGAATTGCTTTACAGTAGACCCCAAAGATCCAAACAAACAGAATTCAGCAGCTGAATGGGATACTAAAATCAGTGGTACCAAACTTACTCTCAGAGTTAGACAGATGAAGCTGCAATGAAATATATAAGAAATATTTTATGTATAAAATATAAATATATATCCCTTAATTTTAAGAAGATTCTTCAGAAGCTCTGAAATAAGATAATAACACCAAGCATGGAAAAAGTTATACACCGAAAGACAACATAATTGTCAAGAGACCTCCAGAAGATGCTAAATGGCTGTATTCTCTACTGACTCATTCCTTACACTAATCTCTGCAAATTGACTCATCTCTTGGGCTCATCCCAGTAACAGCATTCTTCCTTGTTCACTGGGTACCCCCAGGCTTTTGTGCTACCTCTCCTCTCTCTGAACCTCTACAGAAACGGGCCAGGAGGCATCTCCTCCCCTTTACAAGAACTCCTTATTTCCACCCTGGACGCAGTGTGGAACCCAGTCTGAGAATTCTGCAAGATCCCCAAGCCTGGTGGTTCCGTGTCAGTGCTCTCTCCTCCCCGCCAAGTGGCCAAGGGAACCAGCACTCTGCACACTCCCAGGCCTCCAACTACTTAAGAGAGCAATGACACAGGAAGCATCATTCCACTTCACCAACAGAGCGTGGAGATGATTTCCCACCGTCTCCAAAGCCACATTTTTTTTGTTCTGTCTTCCCAAACCATCTTCATCGAAGACAAGCCACACTCTCTGGGATGCAGGGGCCCCCTTTCCTGACCGCACCGGAAAGCGACACCGTGCCTTGTCCTACCTTGGCAGCCACCGAAGAGTTGGGTTTCTCCAGCAAGTCCCAGAGCTTCTTCCTCTTGTCGGGGCAGCAGGTATTGTCGAACTCTTCACCCTCGCGCTCGCGCATCGTTTCCGCCTCTCGCCGCAGTTCTTCGTTCATCTGCTCCTTCTTCTGATGATACCTGGCCTGGCAGCACGACTCCAGATAGATCTCATCAATCCCCCAGTAGTCAAGCTCCTGGCCGAAGGAGAGGGCGCACATCTCTTCCATCATGTGCAGTTTCCCCGTGCGGTAGAAGTTCAGGATGGACGTGAAGGCGCCCGGGTGCCGATCGAAGAAATACTCGTTCTCGCTCAGGTTGTAGTCATCGCACACCTCTAGGAGGCTCTCGTGCGTGTTGCAGTCCCGCAGCTTCCCCAGGCGCGTCCTGGGCAGCCGGTCCAAGGTCCGCCACAGCACTTCGTGGTTGAGGCCCCCCACGTTGATTTTGACTCTGCGCGAGCACGTCTTGCTCCGGATAATGTCTACGGGTTCCGGTGGAAGAGAAAGCGTCGACCTTGAAGTCTTCCGATTTAAGCCTGGAGGAGCCTTTTCTGCCATGTTTGAACTGGGCAAAGCACCAACCGTGGGAAGGTCAGCTGCAACAATGTCCCTCTGCAGTGGGCAGCTCCATGGGCACAACTAGAAGGAAGAACACCAACAACAGCCATGCAGTCACTTGCGTTTTTTCTAAAGCATCTCCTAGTCTATGAGATTCCTCTGGTCGTGCACAACCAGGAGGCATGATAACGGTACATGTATGGCAATATGCACCTTTGCATATGACTGCAACACAGAAGGCAATGTATATTCAAATTCATGCACCCATAGGTTGACAATTCCCAAGTTACTCACCACCAAGTCTCTCTCTCTCTCTCTCTCTCTCTCTCTCTCTCTCTCTCTCTCTCTCTCTCTCTCTCTTTCAATTTTATTTGGGGAGGGGGGGCGGCTAGGGTGGACATATCTGGGAGTGTTGTTGACAGGCTCTGTGATCAGGGATCATTCCTTGTGGTTCTCAGGGGTCATGCATGTAGCTCAGTGGTAGACCACCTCCCTGGCGTTTGAACAATAGCACAACAGAACTAAGTAAACAAAATAAACTATCCACATGCAGAATCACTCAATCACTGCACCTTCAACTATCCATGCGCAGAATCACTCAACCACTGCACCTCCAACTACTGTTAGCTCACTACACTTCCACCAACCCAACTAATTTGTGTTCCTTCTCCAACACAGAATTTATGGTGTTCAGCACTATCACATCCATCCATATATACTAAATTCTTGAGAAATCATCATCCATTGTTCACATCTGCACACTCTACAACTTTAAAACGATTTTTTAAATTGAATCAGTGTTAGCGTTACAAAGTTGTTCATAATTGAGTTTCGGTCTTAGAATGTTCCAGCACTCATTCCTCACCAGTGTACATTTTCCACAATCAATGTCCCCAGTTTTTCTCCTGTCACCCATCACCCCACGCCTGAAACTTCTAAACACTGCTTAAGCTGGCTACCATCTTTACTCAGACCCACCGCCCTTCTATTCTTGAACCATGGAGCAAGTTCAAACACTCCATCTCTTGCCTAAATTTGAACTGTTTTTGTTTTGTTTTGTTTTGTTTTGTTTTAGTTTGGTTTGGTTTGGTTTGGTTTGGTTTGGTTTGGTTTGGTTTCGTTTAGAGACCACACCCAGCTTTGTTCAGGACTTTATCATGGCTCTGAGCTCAAAAATCGGTCCTGGTGGACTAAGGAGTACCATATGAGGCATTAGGCATAGGACCTGGGGTGGACAGCATGCAAGGCAAGACCCATACCTGCTATGCTCTCCCTCCAGTGCCTAGGAGTCTATTTTTATCATGCTGAAAATTATCTCTATTCAGCTACTAGAATGAGTCACTAAGGTACAGAGTTGACGTAGCCAAGCATTCAACCCTACAAGGCTCATTCATTCCTGAAAATAAAAAGTTCAGATCTAGATCTGACTTACCTCTCCAGTCTCTCCTCTTTTATGGCTATAATCCAATACCCTCAGATTGCATGCATTATTCTCTCTCAGCACCTGGCCTTTTTCCATGCTGTGTTCTATAAGGGTTTCCATCTTTCCTATTGCCCTTTTAACGGCTACTACTTCTTTTAGATTTAATTTAGATCAAGATAGAGTTATTTAATGATCTGACTAAAATGCATCTATTTACATTGTATGTGTATATTTGGGTATGAGAATACAGTAAGTCAGAATGTGTGTATCTGTCTTCTGCTTTACAGTTTTTTCTCTTGTGTACTAAATTTTTAAGACATCACTGCTCTAATATCCTCTCTTGTTGGTTGATATATTATTCTAATCTGTGGCAGCAAGCATCTTCTTGGTTGATTTCCCTTATATTTCTGCAGAAAATGATGGAACTTCAAGAAACTCATTCAACACACTACTTTCAATATAAAATATAATATTTTACACAATAAATGACATACCAAAGGAAAGAGCTTTTAGATTTAAGAATTTCTTATAAGTAGAGCTCTCTTTTAGGATACACACCAATTTTATGCAGGCCTCTGGTTTCTCTATTTCTGTAAGTTAAATTTATTTCTCCATCTGGAAGCAAAAAATCTCCCAAATGTAAATAAATCAAGTTTATGAAAAGATATAGATGATGCATAAGAAGCATTTCAAATATAGCTAATAAATACATTTGAATTGAAGTTTTTTCAACTACATAGTTACAGAAACATTCTAAGTATATACAAACACACTTTCATCACAGATAACAAAATAACTAATTTTATAATAAGTTGATAAAGAGGAGTTACAGTGATTAAGTGAAAGGTTTAAATTATTTGATCTTCCAGATTTTAATCAAGATGCATATTTACTTAGATTTATAATATTTGTCTTCTCAGGTGAATTAAAACCTTCAAAGTCAGGAATTGTGGGTTTAAACTTTTCTCTCCCAAGACACCTATAGCAAGTACCTCTGATGCAAATAATGCCCATCTTGAATGTATTTGACAATTATATATAAATATACACTTAAATTTACTAGCAATATTAGGATCAGGCAAAAAAAACTGAAATATTAGAGGTGAGGAAATGCCAGGGGTAAATCTGGATGTTTTCTGCTAAATAATTTATCTGGAGATGCAATGACATCTCTATAATCTGGACAACTTATGTGAACAATTCACTTGAACGACTGAATAAGAAGAATGGCTAACTCATTGTGACTCTGGCTGCAAATAAAAATGAAATAAAATATCTTTGGAAATTTTTTTTCACTAATATAAAGGAAATATTTTTAGCTATGATAATATCAGAGAACAGTTGTCTACAATGAGCAAGAGTAAATACCAGTGTGATGCGAGCATCTCACTTTGGGGTTAAAGGCTTGATGTAATTAGCTTTTTGTACAAATGATTATTTTTTTAAAATGCTGTTTTAGAGTCATCAATTTGTCACCACTAGTTTTAAATCACTTCAAATCATTAAGACTTACGATAATTTTTTTTCTGTAGTATGTACCTGCCAAATGGAGAGAGGCTGTAGGACTAAAACTTCAAAATATCTTTATTGATCAAGAACTTTCTATATAAGAATTCCAGTGTTGATTACACACCCCACAGTAAACGATAGATGGAAATAAATGCCCTTTATTCAAGTGTGACAGAGAAACTTAGAATGGGAAGAGGTGGCGCGATGAATCCATTTCCTTAAATTTAAAGATGATCTTCTCTGGTGATTGTCATTGTGATTGAAATATTTTTTATTCTCCCTTGGCAGAATGTTGTGTCTGTCCCTTGGTAAAACTTGGACGCTCAAAGGTTTCTTGAGCTGTTTCAGAGCCAGGAATGGTGTTCAGAAAGTTCATCACACTGTCAGGTAGTAGGAAAGCAACGGTCACATGTGGAAGTCTGTCATTCCCATAAAGGGCAGAGCTTATGTCCTGTCAACAGTTCCTTTGAAACTCACTGTGTCTACTTCACTGTGTCTACAGGAGCTCTACAGACATGTGTCTATATAGTTTTGAAGCTGCCTTTGCCACATGGCCCTGTTCCATTTCCCTAGAGGCCACTTCTACTTCCTTTCACCCCTTCCTATCCTATTCCCTCAATTATTCTGTCCCTATGCTAACCAACTGCAAAACTAATCAAATGACATTTTTCCACCCTGTACAGACTTACTCATTTTTTTCCTATTCACTATCTTAATAAGAAATCCTGAGCTGAAAGTACAATGCCACCCTCCAGATGAAAAGAAAAGCATTGAAACTTGGGTCTTATTATGGGAGATGGTATTTTTTTATGGTCTTTTATATGAGATGATAAAAGGAGACTGTTCTGAGGCTCAGGACCCCTAGGTCTGCTGGAGCAGAACTTTGACATTCCCTCCTTTCAGGGTGAACTTCACCATCCTCACCCACTGAACAGCGGCATTTCCACGACACAAGGCTTTCTTTCCTATGATGCTGAGTTATTTTTTCCCCTCTCGCTGAAGTTCTGTGGCTTTTACTACCATCCCACTCCAATCTCCATTATTACTTTAGACAGAAATAAACCTATCATAGTACTTCACAGTCAAAACATTTTTTATGTTCTAGTTTCTGAAGAATAGAAACTAGATATTTCATATTTTAGAAACCATTAATATTTATAGTGACTTAGTATAGACTATCTTCAGAACATCACAAATATTTATTTTATACATTTTACTTCACTTGTTATCTATATTTTTCTGCCATATTAAAGCATTTTTACAATGAATCTGTTGATTCAACCTTAGTTAGGTTCAGTGTCTTGCCACATTAAAGAGCTTTCAAGTTAATGTTTAAAATTTAGTATCCAATGTGGTTATGGTTTTACATTTTCTCACATATATTTCCTACGTGCAATTACAAAATTATAACAATCTTATCCAATATATGAATTATGCCTCTAATTCAATTTCTCACATAAGCATTATGATGTAATAACACAATGTTTAAACTATGTAGATGCTATGTGACTTTTTAGATTTATACATATAAACAGTGATAAACAAAACTAACATTCTGATGACTAGGACAAAACCTCGTGAATATTTTCTTTTGTCTGTTGATTTACTTCACCTCATTGGATCAACTGAAAGTCAAGCTTGCAACAATCAGTGGGCCAGTGCAAATGTACTAAACATCCCTTCATTAGTCTGTTAGAGAAAAAAGCAACTCTTTTAACAATAAACAACAACAAACATTCTCGTTTTGCACAGCTGCACCCAGCTCCTACCAGCAGTGTGGAATTATGCTGCCATCCGTTCAAGGCCAAACCTGACAAAACACAACTTTCTGATCCTGGCATCATAATTACAGAGTGAGGAGGTTTGGAGGGGGAGGGGGGATTCTTTATTTATTTATTTTTACTGTAGTCTCAGATACACTACCATTATATCACATGCTTGACACCTCCTTAGTACAGCAAGGCAAGATAAATCCCATGCGTAATCCTGTGAAGGTGAAAAGCAAATCTTCCTAAAGATTTAAGAGATGCTTAACATTTCATTTCTGTGTTGCTAGTTACACACTGAGCGGGCATTTGCAAACAAGCATTTTGGAGACCTTTAAGTCTAAGCCACTCTATGAGAGCTCTGAAGCATTTTTATATATGGT